GTGCTTTTGCTGTGTTCAGAGTGTTGGCCAAAATTGGCCAAGTGAGGCAACATCACGTAGCCGCCCCGTTTTGCCAGAGAGGCGCAAACTAGCCTTTTGCAGCGATAGAGTCTCGGTTTCGGTTTTCCGGCCGCCATTCTGGGCTATTTTCGTGGAAAGTGGAAAGGGGGCGTGGCAAATCTGTGCACAAACACACACACACACACACAAGGGCAATGTCCCCGGCAGAGCACCAAAATAATCTACGGCAATTGCATATGGCAGGCAATAAACTTGGTCAAGTCTAAAAACAAACCGCTGAACGACTGCCAACTGCGGTTTGCAGACGCTGGGTTTTTTCTTCTTATTTTTCTCTTTTTTTCTGTGAGGGTGCAGAGGGGGGTTCAGAGTGGGTAAAAGTGCTCTTGACATGTTTTTATTAAAGTTTCCTCCGTTTCCGGCCACGTCTGCCAAGGGAGGGCAAAAAAACAACAACAACAACAGGGTGGTAGTAGTAGAAATATGCAGCACAAAACGCAAAATAAAAATTGTCTTGGACTCTTTCTGAGCTCCCCTTTTCATTCTGAAAAGTTTTGGTTCCTGATACCCTTTCCTGTATTCCATATGTTTCAAAAACTTTCCAACAAGCTAATAATTGTTTAAAAGTTTGAAATGTATGAATATAAATTCTAGCAAAACCCCAAAAAATGTGCATCAAAAATAAGGGAACTCTATATATTTTCCTTTGTGTCAGGTTAAGGGAGAGTCTGCTCAAGGAAGTGTCCGCTCAACAGCGTCTTTGTCCGCTCAAGAGAGATATTAATATTAAAATAATAATTGTTTAAAATTTTGAAATGTATAAATATAAATTCAAGCAAGCCTCAAAAAGTGCTTAGAAAACGGGGAACTCTATATATTTTCCTTTTGTCCGCTCAAGGGAGATTCTGCTCAAGGATGTGTCCGCTCAACAGAGTCTTTGTCCGCTCAAGAGAGATATTAGTATTAAAATAATAATTGTTTAAAACTTTGAAATGTGTGAATATAAATTCTAGGAAACCCCAAAAAGTGCATAGCAATAAAGGGATTCTATACATTTCTCTTTTTGTCCGCTCAAGTGAGAGTCGGCTCAAAGTAGTGTCCGCTCAACAGAGTCTTTGTCCGCTCAAGAGAGACATAAGTATTAAAATGATGTTACAGTAATGTGTAAAGAATCTTTTTACGGTTTATATATTTATAAGTTAATGTTGTAGTATATTTCTAAGTTTAATTAAATATTTACATTATTATTTAAAGAACTCCTTTAGTGTTTTTTAATTTTCAGCTCAGCCTATTTGTCTTATTTTGTATTTAATTAAATTTTTTAAAGAATTTGTAATAATTTTAAATATTTCGTAAAAGGTTTTAAGATATATTTTTACTATGTTACAGTTTCCACTCAATAAATATCATCAAAACTATTTTTTCTGACTAATCAACTCTTTCAATGGTTATAGATTGTCCCTGAATTCATACTTCGGAATTATAAATGCAATGCTTAAGCAAACTTATCGTAGAAGGGTCAAGAGTTGTCAATAAATATGTAGAAAAAATATTAATATTTTTATACTTTATAAAATTTAGAAAAAATATTTATAATATTTTAATACCTCATAAATATGTAGAAAAACATTAATATTTTAATACCTTATAAATATGTATAAAAAATAAATAATTATTGCCTTCATAATCCCTCATTTAATCCATGTAATACTTTAAAAAGTGTATTTAAAGGTACATGGAAAATATTTTTTCAAATTTTTCCCTCTAGTTTTTTGGTTTAGTTTCTTGATTTTTGTGTTATTTTTTTGCCTCTGGCCAAGTTATGTTTATGTTGCGTGCGTGTTTAGTTCATGGAATTGCTATTTGAGGTTTGCATTCAGCAGCAGCACCAGCTGTGCCTTCGTATAAAAACTGCACTCGATTCTAGTTTCTGGTGCATAAAATGCATATGGGTTTTCATTTCGACAAATATCCGTTCATCTAAGACCTCAAAATCCATATCGTGAGGAAACTTTCAAAGATTTTTCCCACACAGGGATGAAAAAAAAAACTAAAGAAAAACAAAAACCAATTACTCGCTGCAAATTTCCAATTTCGGGATTTGGGCTTTTCCTGGCGAAAGCTTCAAATTGGGACCAAAAAAATATATAGAATAAGCCAGGAAAGAAAGAAAAGTGTTGAAACCGACCAAAGCGATGAACAAAACAACACTGAAATGAAAATGAAAATGACATCAACAATTTCCTTGGTGACAAAAGGCAGGCGGCACAAGGAAAATGGCAAATAATAGAAAGCCAAAAGAAGATGGGAGAGGAAAGGAAGTTGTGGGGTGTGAGGAAAATGTCAACCCTTGCACATTGTAGGTGAAAACGGCAGGAAAAACCCGACACAGTCACGTATCCACGTGTTGGCAGGACAGCGTACAAAAAGGGACCTGAGATGGTGGTCCTGGGAAAACCCACTGAAGGCGCCAACGGTAAATGCACTTTGAATGGCAAAGTTTACTTGTCACTGGGGGGGGGGTGAGATGGAAAAAACCCAAGTAAAAGACTCGCAAGTGCAGCTGGGAAAATGTCCAAGGGAAAATCACAATCACAGCCCGACTTGACTGTCTTTTCTGTCTCGTAAAAAAGATTATTTAAAACTACAATGAACGGGAGACAAAGTAAATGGCATTAATAAGTATAACTAAGGTTAAAATCGGGGGAAATATTAACTAAAACTTAATTATAGTGATCTATAAAAACAATTGAGTTTAAAACAACAAATCATGTGTGTTTTTGTACGCACTTCACGATCGTTTACTTGCACCTGGAGTCGTTCTTATAAATAATGTTTTTTTTATCTCCTTTCCAACTCTTAACTATAATATAAACTCCCTAATAAGTCAGCCTTTAAATAATTTCATTTGTCATATTATAAACTAGAAAAATAAACCAGAAAATAGTTATATTACACCGATAAGCGAAAATTGAATAAATAAAATGACTAAGAAGGAATTGAATGTCTAAAGACAGGCTGAGTAATTGCCAGATATCAAGTTTACTCACATATAACTGGAAAACTATGTAATGATAAACCAAACCTAAATCCCATTTAATTGAAACATCAACAATCGAAGACATTCTTGGGTGTCATTGAATCAAACAAAAAATTCGCAACCGATTGATATAGAATTTCAAAGATGCCTTAAGACAGGCAAACATTCCCAAATAGTTGGCCAATTCCGGTTATATATCCCCCAGAGAATCCCTGAATCGGAATCCGAATCCAAATCCAAATCCGACAGTCCTAACCTACCCCATCCTGGAAAAACCAAAACAAAGACCAAACAGGGGAAAGGAACTTTGTATGTACAGGACAGGAAAGGGAGCTGGGAGATGGCCAAGGAATGTAGCACCAAATTAACATAAATTCCAGGCAAAAAGGTAAGAAAAAAAATATACTGCTACTTATACAACTCATGAGGTGGCAAAGGGGGAGGTGGGTGGTATGAGAAAAGGGGTGCGGAAAAACTAGAAGTCGAAGCTGGTGGCAAAAAGTTCAACGACAGCAGACAGACGCAAAAGGAAAGCGGCGACAACAAATAAAACAGCAACAAGGACAGCGATGTGGAGCAGTCACAAGGACGAGGAAGGGTGTGGGAATGTCCTGGGTGGGTGGTGGGTGCTAGGCTCTGGGTGGTGCCAAGGCTCCTTTTCTATATATATATATATTTTTTTTGTTTTTTTGCAAACGGAAAAGCAGACCGTTGTTTTCTCCTATGTCTACAGTGTCGCTTTCCCAACTATTCCCACAAGAAAAATCAATGGAATTGTTTGGTATATTGCGCCATGTTTGACTCAACCCTCAGCACCACCACCACCGCCACCCACGAAGCACCCACCGGCACCCACTGCTTACAACAGTTGCGTTCAAGATTATAGGAGATTTGAGTACTTATCGGGGTTTTAATGCCAAAATTGTACTTATTTTCCTTGGAGAAATGTTAGATTTAAGACTTTTTGACAAAATAAATTGATTTACTATAGAAAACTAATTTATACCCACTGCTTGCAACAATGGTGTTCAAGATTATAGGAGATTTGAGTACTTATCGGGGTTTTAATGCCAAAATTGTACTTATTTTCCTTGGAGAAATGTTAGATTTAAGACTTTTTTGACAAAATAAATTGATTTATAATAGAAACCAAATAAATAATTAAAAATTAATCAATAAATTTAAGAATTTTCTATACGTTTATGGTTTTTAATAATTTGATGTATTATTTAATATTAAAAATAGTTGAAAGTAATTAGTAAATTCTTAAACTTTATCATTTCATATTAAATTTAATTAAAGGAACCCAAAGAAAGATTTTATAATAAAAATAAATTAGTATAAATTAGATTTAATAATTATTAAAAAATATATATATTTCTTTATGAGTATTTATTTTGGGTTTTTATAACAGCTTTTCTATAGAAAAATGTAGTTTCAGAAAAAACTAGCTAAAGAAATTATAAATTGTTGAATAAACTTAGATTTTTTGTTTAAATATAGGAATTCACTTTTCTTTATTACTTCTTATAATTTTAATAATAAAAACTGAAATAAAAGAAATGTTAATTAAATTCTAAATTGTGCAAAAATCCTAATAATTTTCCCTTAGCTGTAACTGCTATTATTCTTTCTTGATTTGCTTGCTCACTTTTCTGCCCTGCCTCTTGTGTTTACTTTCTTGTTTGTTGTGCTTTCCTTCTTCCCTTAGATTCTTCATTTTTATCTCTCTTTCTATTTTGCCAAATTAGGCGACGACAAATCAAGTGATTTATCCTCTTTGCCTCTCTCTCTTTAAATCCCAGCTGAGCGCTTAGTGACATAGTTACTGAAAAGGCCTAGAGGGGGAGTGAGGGAGATGGCTATTTAGCCAACACGATCAAGGATCTCGCAAAAAAAAATACAAACAAACAAAAACAAAACAAAAGAGTTCCATACACACCTTTCTCTCTCTCTCTCTCGCTCGCTTTTTCGTTCTAACAGCTGGTGGCTGCTGCTGCTGTAATTTTACTCTCTCGCTTCGACAGCTTCATCATCATCTTCATCATCATCATCAGCATCGTCGTCTCGCTCTTCATCTTCATCTCTGGCATTTCCATCATCATCGCGAATGTGGAATAAACGGTCGCATGGGAATTTCCCTATTCTCCCAACTCCTCCTCCTTCTGCATTCGCCGTCGCTGCCGCTGCCTCAGTCGACGTCAATGTTGGCCAAACACGTGAGAGAGAACTTGCGCACACTTCTTCTTCTTCTTATTCTTCTTCGTCTTTCACTGACTCTTCTTCTTCTTGTTCGTATTCAGTTGTTGTTGTTGCTGTGCCTGTGCCTGTGCCTGCCTCACTTTTGTTTTTGTTTTTGTTTGTGCAGCTCCCTTTTGGCTCGCGCTGGTAATGCTGCTGTTTTTGTTGCTGTTATTGCGACAAAAAGAAAACGAAGAAAACGGTAAACGGCCTGGCCACCGCTGCTGTGTGAATTGTGTTGTTGCCTTTGAGCGTTTTTGCTTTTTTATTGTCTTGCGGGTGTATTAAGTATTTTGCATTTTTCGCCGAAACAAAATCTTAAGAAACAGCTGTCGCCACTTCGTTGTTGGTATATTGCACTTGTTGTTGTTGCTGCTGCTGCTGCTTCTCGTTTACCGTTTGTTTGGCCCAGGCACCTCGCTTTAACTTTTCAGAGTTTTAATCACTTTTAAAACACACATACACTTGGTAAAAACATAAAAAAATACGCGACGGAGTGCAGTGCTATATTAGTTTAAGCAATAGGACAATTAAACTGCATCAACAATTGAATAAACAAATGCGAAACGCGAAAAAACACCGACGCGGACCGAGAAACACAACTTGACGCCACGACGAGAAGAAAAAACTTGGACACTTGACAATCCGTTATGCTCTGGTGTTGCCAGCGCCAAACGCTGAGAATGCTCCGAGAGCTGTTTATAGAAAGAGAAAGCCCCTCGCCCACAACCGGAATTGAAGAGAGCGGATAGCTCGTGCTCTCTATGTTAGCTCAACAGTTGTTTTTGGGGGTTAACAGCTGGAGTTAACAGTTCGTGGGGAATTTTTCATTAATATTTAATTCAACTGCCTAAATATCAAGCAGGGTTTAATTTGTATTAAATCTTAAGAGATTGAAAAGGTTTTGTGGTTGAATTAAATTTTTTAAATTGATTTTTAAGTTCAGAAACCCCACAACAGGTCAGTTTAAGCCCTCTGTTAAATACTTTGTTGTAGGAATTAATTTATATTTATTTATTTAAGTATTTTTTTAAAGGTTTTATTTGTAATTATATAAAATATATGAGTTATTTATTTATCTGAAACGTACTTAAAAAATTTTAAATAGGACTTTGTTAAATTTATTTTGTATTTATTCACTTTAGAAATAAATAATTTATTTTTTTGTGTTGATTTTACGTCTAAATTTATTTATTTAATAAATATTTATTTGAAAAATATTATATTTTTATTTAAAAGAAATAATTAATTAATTTATTAAACGAATTCAGATATATATGGTTATAAATAAGCTATATTTATTATGTTTTAAGCAATATTAAAAATAAAAAGCAATTTTGTTTTAAAATAACTTTAAATAATACTTTTAGTATGAAAAAATATAATTAATTATGTTTATAAGGAATCAGAAAAATATGCTTTATTAAAAGCTGTATTTATTATAGTTTTAAATAATTTTAAATAATATTTTGAGCAGGAAAAAATAATAATTAATTACGTTATTAAAAGGAATCAAAGGAATATGCTCTATAAGAGCTATTTTAATTAAGTTTTTTTATATTAGAAAAAAAGGAAACAAAAATTTTAAAATTAATGAAATTCATATTTCTTTAATTAAAAAATGAATAATTTATAAGGCTATTATAAGAAATCAGAGGAATATTTAATAAAAATATATATGATAATAATGTTTTATTTAAAATTAGTTTGATAATTATTTATTTATTTATGAAATATTATTTATAGCATGAAAAATGAATAATTAATAATGTTATAAAATGATATCAAATATTCTTGAAGTCCTAAGCTATGCTTGAGGCACACCTGCTTTAATTTAAAGGATACCTGTAGTCGATGTAACCCTTTTTCTAGCATCCCTTATATACCTTTTCCATTATAGGCCTTTCAAGGGTGCAAATCCCCTCCCCCATGCCACCCACCCCCCTTCCCCTTCTGGCCTTCAGCTATGTAGCTCTCGGAGCAATTAACGGGATTCCAATGTGTCTGGACGGCGCTGCAAAGTGCAGACTGTGACGGGAAATTTCAAAAATTTCAATTCACAAAAATTCACAGGAATGTGCTCATGTGTGTGTGTGAGTCTGTGTGTGTGTGAGTGTCCTTCCAATGGAGTGTCCATCCAAATGTCTGCCTCCAGGCATGTGCTCCTCCATCCCCTACTCAATGTCTGTCTGTCTGTCTGTCTGTGAGTCCTGCAGCAGGTGCAGGTGCACGGAGGTCCTGCAATCAAAGAGTCATCGAGTTAAGGCAGGACATAGAGTGACAGAGAGAGAGCGCACAAAAACGGAAATGGAACTCAGCTGGAAAGGATCATACAAGCATATAAAATCCTTGTTTTTAATTTACTAAAATAAAAGGAATACTCCGAGTTAATAAGTTGAAGTATTAAAGCTATTTACTGAATGCGAATGCAAGGCGAATCCTGTGCTGTGATCATTTGTTCAAGGATATTTACGATAGGAACTTGCCACGTTAAGTGGAAAGGATGCAGCTGCAGTCGCAGTTGATGGCCATCAAGTGGACCATGGCCAAGTGATTACACGTGCCCATAAACAACACACTCTCATCCCCGCTCTGTCCCCTCACTTGGTCCTTGGCCGTTAAAGTCCGGCAAAACAGGAGACAAAACATTGGCCAGCAAGGACATGGCTGGACGACAGTTTTGGCCATCGAGATTGAGATGGGGCTTTGCCAGTGCCATCATCATCATCATCATCATGGGAGAGCTCTCCCTCTGTATATCTCTCTATGTGTGTGTGTTTTTGTGGTGAACTTGGATGGATTTATGGCCAAGGACTTCGGTTTTAATTTAGACCAGGTGGCAGGTTATTAAGACAGGACACTATCTTTGACTTAATGCTAAGACTAAAGATTAAAGCACCTTCTAAGCACTTTAAAAAATCTTTAAAAATTAATTCGAATTGGATGCTATTTTGTTTTTAGACAAACGCAATATCCTTTCCAAAGATCCTTTAAAAAATATTTAAAAATCATTTTCCACTGTGTGGGAAACTTTCTCTGAGACTTTCCTGAGAGTTTTCCTCAGACTTCCCTGAGACTTCCCTGATTCCTGCCTGAAGACTTCCCTGAGCCCTGCTTGAGTCCTCCATGATTCCTGCCTGAGTCCTGCTTGAGTCCTGCCGTAAGCTAAACTATTTTAGTGGCTGAACCTGAAGCCTGAAGAAAGTAAGCAGGCAAGGATAATGCTAAGGACTGAGGACACGACACACACACACAACGTCAAAGTCAATAAATTTTGTGGCACTGGATTGGCCCCCCAAGGAAGCTGGAATCTGTGAGACTCAGAGAGCTTGAACTGGGCCAGAAGCAGAGACTGAGACTGCACTTACTTAGCCAAGACTCTTGGCCATCTGCAGCTGCACCTGTGCAAACAAAAAACAACTCCACTCCTTGCCAAAGTCCCAGGTGCCTATTTTAGCTGCTTTTAACTTGGTTATGGCCTTGGCAACGTCTTGCCGGCTTTTAAGGATAATATCTAAAGCAAAAAATAAAAGAAAGTAAGACTGCAAGCAGATAGGGTTAGTTTATACACTGATTTCAGCAATTAGATCTTGGCTTTAGCTAGGCTCTGGTTCTACTCCTTCTCCTGTTCCACCTGCCTTTCCTTTTCCCATTTCGCATCCTGCCCCCCAGGGAGTCCTTTTGGCATCAGGACAAACACACAATAACTGGCGGCCATTAAATCCATGAGAGTTACGAGCTTGTTGCCTTGCATTATGAGCCAGCTCAGCTTAACCTGCGGAGCACTCCACAGCTACTGGTGTATGTCCTTCTGCCAGGACTAAATGTGATCACGCAAAGCGCATAAACAGGAGCACCAGACCCAGGACCCAGGGACCCAGATGGGCCGGCCAAACGGAACTATAAAGCATCGGGCTAGGACGTGCAAAGTGATAATCATGCGAATACAACAGATGAAACAAGTGGCAAAAGGTCAACACTGAACTCTAGATGCTCTAAAAAGGCAGGAAATTATATTGCAAAAGTAGATTATAATAAGTAAATAAAGAAATTTCTAAATAAGTCGAAAAAATCGATAAAATATCGTTAGGAACTCGTTTGCCTAATGATAGATTATGATTTTACCTGGCTTAAAGTAATTCAAAGCTTATTTTGAAATTATAAAAGGTTAGTTATTTATTAATTATTATTATATGTATTATTATATCATTCAGTATTATTTTATTTATAAATATATCATTAATTAACATTATATTTATTATTATATCATTCAATATTATTAATATTTATTATATTTCAGTTTAAAGTAAATTGGAATAAATATAAAAATCTCTTCATAAATAATAATAATATCGAAAAATCGAATATAGAAATAATTTTATAGTCAATGTAAAGAATATATTTAAAAGTTTAGTCAAAGGTATATTTAAATGTAATAAATAATGAAGTAAGTTAAAGTAAATGTTTTAGTTTACTTTATAAATACACAATTATATAGAGACATATCGAAAATATTGAAAAATCGAATACTACTTTACTATTTCTGCTAATTCAAAGTATTCCTATCAGCAGGGATTTGTTAATAAGTTTATACTGTTTAAAATGAAAAGGAATAAATATGCATATATCAAGACATATAGAAAATATTGAAAGAAATACTTGAAAATACTTCCAAACTATACATATATCGACAATTATCGATTTCTTTCAAGCTCTAATCGATAGCTCAATAGTAAATATATTTCTTGAGCTGTAAGTTAACACTTTTTCAATTTCAGTTCCTTAGACAAAAATAGTTATACCCTTCTATGATGCCCTAACAAAAGCGTATGACAGATTGTGCCGCCAACACACACACACACACACTAGATGTGGTGGGTGTGCCCAACCCCTAACATTCACATCCGCCACCGCATCCGCATCCGGTGCCGTGTCTCCTGCCGTGTAACCAATGCGCCGTACGTGTGCCCAGCACTCATTACAAATGAAAGCCGAGAGCGAATGAGTCGCACCTGTGCCAAGGTGTTGACAACACCAAAAATACGGCAATGCACACACACACACACACTCACATACACCCCTCAAATGGGAGGAGGTAATAGGGGGGAGGGGTGGAGTTTCATCCAAAATTGGGATACCCCACGGAAGGACCTCCGCATTCTGACTGCTGAAATTAATCAGAGTTTCAATCAAACATAAAATAAACGCTGAGATTTGCCACGACACTCCTTGACAACTGCACAGAGGCGGGAACAGGTGCGAGATGCGAGACAGGTGAATGCGAAAATGTGTTAACTATTTGGGGACTTTTTGGCTTGGTTGGGAATTCCAGCTAACAGGAACAGAGCAGTTTTTTCTTGCTTTCTCTGACATGTGGTTAGTCCTCTTGCATTAAAAAGCAGCAAGTAAATAATTAGCATAGGTAAGTGGTTACATTAATTCAAAAGAAATTTAAGTATATTCAATGAAAAATAATATTTACAAGATTTAAAAAGATCCATTGTCAAATTCTAGTTGTTTTAATGTAATAAAAAATAATGGAATATCAAAAGAAATGTTAATCACAATGATTTGGTTACACTAAACCTTTAAGAAGTAAATTT